TCTTTTTTTTGGCGGGTGGGGAGCAGCTAGGTTAATACCGCGATCAAAGAAATCTTTTTATGCAGGTCAGTTTGAGGGGATTCTGGGACGTCTGGCATATGCTGGCTAAATCGGCACGGCGAGACGGGGGCTTAACCAATGAATACTGCGCCGATCCAGAGGTTGTGACGTCTGGCTGTGGGTTTAGGTTTTTAATGACCTTGAAAGCTTGCTTGTCTAAAGTCTATTGTTGGAGAACATTATTGGAACCTTTGTTTGAGAAAGTGCTAACTTCTGCTTGCTAGCTATTACTATAAACATATAATGGCCACATGAATGAAATGCTGCAGCAAAAAAATTAAATGTCTCTTGGTCTTGTTAAATGAACCATGACAAAAATTGTCTGAGATTTCAAAATAACCATTTATAGAGGAGGATCTTTTATGTCCAGGTGGATCATCTAAATGATCGGTCCTCCTAACTGTCGATCATCCTGGTGATCTGTTTACGTAAGGCCGTCCTACACGCTCGTCCCGTTAGCGATCTTTTTCTTTCTGTGGTGAGCTACGGTTTCAGCCAGTCGCTGAAGCTCACCTTTCTCACCGCGGTTCTCTGAAAAATAGAAAAAGCATGCTCTGCATGGAGAGCTCTCCTCACAAAGCATTATGGGATCTGTTGTCACAGCGGCGCTCTCGCCATAGGCTACACTACCCGACAGCGATGAGTGACTCAGAGGGACATCGCGGCGCTAACGAGCGCTAACGACGCTGCTCAGAGAAAGTTTGATCAAACCCACCTTCTGTATGCCCAGCTTCTTCTCCATGTCCCCCTCCAGGCCGCTGCTCTTACTGTCCTTCCAGGGGTAGAAACCGGAGCATGGCGAGGAGGAGGGGGCGGAGCTAGAGGAGGAGGAAGGAAGGCGCTGCGATGAGAGTTTGGACGAGGGGGGGTGCTCCTCTACAGCCCCCACCTTTCGTTTCTTCAGTCCCTGATGTTCTAGAAATGTCCTCCCACTCCCCGGCCCGTGCGTTCCCGAGTCGCCCACGCCGGTCCGACTGTGGGAGTTGCTAGCAGAGGAGGGGTCTGGAGGAGAGGAGTGGCTCAGAGGGGGGTGGGTCCGTTTGTACGTCCATACTGCCTTGGCAGCGGGGGAGTCTGAGGCGGGAGGCTGAGGGCGGGGCTTACCAGGGGAAAGGGTTCCATTGGTCTGACCATGAGGGAGCAGAGATGAGGGGGGGACTTTGGAAGAGGAGGAAGATGATGAGGAGGAGACGGTAGAAGGTGGGGGGCCCCGGTCCTGCAGGACGATGCAGTTCCTCTCGGGGCCCGAGTGCTCTCCTTCCTGGGACGGAGCTTTTCGTTTGCGGAAGGCGGCGGCCGCAGCGGCCTCCTCGCGCAGCTTCAGCATCTGTTTGCTGGGACGCCCCACAGGATTCTTGGCTCTGGCCCCTCCCCCCTGACGGACCACGCCGGGCCTGCCCCCGGACGTGGGATGGGGACCAGCAAAGCCGGCGCCAGAGTTCTCCGACTGCACGGCTGCCGGCAGTCTGCCCGGTCCACGGCTCGGAGACGATGAGGCGTTTTTAAGAGAAGAGCTTATATGGCTTCCTGCACGGACCTTAGAATGGAAGGTGGAGGAGGTTGCTATGGAGACAGGAGAGGAAGAGCTGATGGACTTGGCCAAGGAAGTCGGTGACAGCAGCTCTGTGGCTTGAGGTATTTTTCTGGAAGAGTCAGAAAAAAGGATCCACTGAGAAACAAAGGAAAACTAAATCTGTTTCAAATCTAAACGAACCTGTAAAAATATTCAGAGATGAAAAGTAGAGCAAAGCAGGTCTGGAGATTAACAGGAAGAACAGAAAGAATGACTTAAATCAGGAGGGGTAACGATCCGGAGGCTTACTTCCAGAGGTGGGCGCTGATGTGCTGCTCCAGCATGCTGCTGAGAGCCCACCTGGCGTGGTGGAGCCTCCTGTCGAACGTGTAAATGCCGTGACCCAGAGAACGGCTGCCGAACGAGCACACCTACAGACACAGGACCGGTTATCACACAACAAACAACAACATCCAGTCCAACATGTCCCAACAAGTTAAACGATGAGTCGACACATCGAATCCCAACAAGTTAAACGA